AACTTGGAAAGCTAGCTGCAGAGAACATATTGCCAGAGTAACACTGGATATTTGTATATACACCCACGTTCAAACATGCATGCATATGCTACATACGTTTATGAAGCCAGAAATTACAGCCTATTTAGAAAAACGTTGATTTCCAATAGGAAATGTCTTCTCTGCTCTTGTACAGACAGCAATATCCACTCAATTACAGTAGAGCCAAATTTAGATTAATTGGTTTTGGTTTCATATTTTCCTTACTGGGAACAACTTTCTGATAAAAGCTCATGACCTTGATGGCCCGCTCTTGTAACCACTCATGCCCAAGAGCAGCTTTACTTCTTTCACTGACTTGAGAGTTTGCAGTGCAGAGTGTAAATAAATGACTGTATCTGCATAGATTTCAGTGGATTTATCCTGATTTACACCAGCTCACTGGCTCAGCATGATTCCAGTTCTCCCTCACAAACTCCACTTTTATACTCGGTATCACTCCAGTGGAGTAATTCCGAATTTGTATCGGCAAACATGAGAAGAGATCCAAATTATCTAATATGGTCAGAGGGAGAGAGAGAGAGAGCGCGCAAAAACATTTTCAAAAATTCCAAGTTTAAACTTTCACAAAATGATACTGTTTATTCAAGCAAACTTATGCAATTCCTTTCTGGGCCATCCAAAATGTTATTTTCTAATGTTAGTGTGTGTGCATCTTCTAAGTCCACAAAGGGAAAAGAAAATATTAATCTAAAACGGTACTGCCTAATATCTTGAATACATAATTCAGCCAATATGCATTTTGGCAGCTCAGCTTTAAGTTTGAAACAAAAGAAATCTGCACAAAAGACAATAAATCTGCATTACACATAGAACTAAAATGATCCAATGGATTTATAGATGTTTACAAGTTTGCAGCATGCAGCTGCAGTTTGCAGCGTCCACCAGAAATTCAATATTCACAGCACAAAACATCATAAACATATGTTTGTAACTACAAAAGGGCCTTTTTATGTGGGGATCATTGTTAAAATTGTCTTCAGAACATAAACCTTAAGTTGTAAATGCTACTCCCCATTTATTCTCAAAAACATAACAAATGAGGAAAGAAAAGCAGAGATATGTTTGTAATTGAAAATGTTTCTCAGGAAATGATCTGTACAGGAACATCATTCTCATTCCATTAACTGCTGACTCCAAGCCAACCATTTGTAAAAGTAAATAAATACGCAAACTGGCTGACAACGATGTGCCTCCCTTTAATGTTACTGTGTTAGTACCCAGTCTCTAAAAAAGAATCTATTTTCTTTTCTCATTTCTCCATTAAACCAAACATGGCACACATGCAAAAGAACGATAAAAATACTGTACACACCAAAAAAGGGAGAAATGCTACAATATGATTTTCATGTATGCAGTACAAATTAAATGCTCATTACCTTGAACTTTCTTGAAAGTCCAAAGCTGCTCAGAAGTACCTCAGTGCTTAGTTTGTTGTACCTGGCGCTCTTTTTCTTCTTTCCAATAAATTGGAAAAACACCCTCAATAGATTGATAAATCCCTAGTCTTAGTAGGCAAAAAAAACTCAACCAAAAAAAAAAGAAATAAAAACAATTCTTTTAAAGTGTACACGTGATTTTCTTAGCCACATCATAAGTGGCCTCATTAAACCTTACATGCTTTCACATTTCATTTGGAATGAAGGCCTTTTTTCAGAATTTTCCTGTAGTTTCTAAGAGGTAACAAGTGGTGTGGTATCAAGCTAAAGTAGATACCGGTCATTCCATTCATTCCTTCAACACATTCTCTCAACACATCTTTTAAAATACATAAGCAATATCTGGAGATGTTTTGTAAAGCCAGTCACCCTAAAGAAGTACTTTAAATACCATTGAAAAAAACCCACTAGGCTGCATTAGGAACAAAGGCAGACAGGAGTCCAAACTACTCTGATTTTCCCCCGACTGAAGAACCAACTATGCATATACGAAATCTTACGACCGTTCCAGGTCCTTATCAGAACTGGTTGTGGTGAGTCTGATGGCAGCCTGAAACTCCTGTAACAGACTCAAATGCCTTGGTAGGGTCCTTGTGCAGAAGATATCTGCAAGTTGTTAACTGGTCTGCACATGGTATCCCTACATGCAAATTATTTTATTGCGGCAAAGCCTTTGACAGCTAAGGGTTCCAATTTATTGAGATGCCACACATCTCAGAACCACACAGGATGCTCAGGGTTACATGGAGACAGAAAGGAGAGCATTTTTATCCTCCACACCAAAAGCAGGAAGCTTGTATTTCTTGAGGAAGGAATCTACGGCTAGCAAGATGTCAAAGAGAGTCAGACAGACGAGCTGGCGCAATCCTGATCCCCAACCAAGGGGAGGCAGTGGTTTGTCTTACACGTTCACCCACTGACTACTATAGTTTGTTTCCAAATACTGTGGAGTGGAGAGGCTGATTTTACAGGACTGACTTTTGCCTCACGTTCTCTGAATTACCAACCAGCTACTAGTAGCTCTTCCAATATCAACAAGAGGCGCTCATGCAGAAAAGACAAAACCAACTATCTGTTCCAAGAAGTCTTTCCCAGCTCGACAAGTTCTAGCTTTTCCTAAGGGAAAAGCCCAAAATAGTTCTTAGGAACGTAAGGGCATACTAGTAGCGAGTCGAGGATTTCCTGAATTTCTTTGTCATTTCTTCTTGTGTATATAAGCCTTTTTTTTTTTTTGAAGGAGAAAAAATTAAGTGCCAGACTCATTGCATCTCAAAAAATCTAGATGATTTCTTCTTGGAGGAGTTAGAAAAATGACTACATTCATTGGGAAGCTAACATTTCCTTTCAAAGACAGAGCATTGTTTTATGTATCACATGGGGCCACAGTTTTCTAACTGCAGCTCTTAGAGCTGCTTCTCTTTTATAAGAACATCTGGGGGGCTTCAAGGAATGACTTTGTCACAAAGGATTAAAAGCTTTCTCATAAGTGGCCAGGTATTTTTACAGTCCAGGGAGAGAAAAAAAGAAAAACCTTAAATTTCTTCTGAGAAATCTTCACGCTTCAGGTTCTTTCTTCGGTATCAAAGTCAACTAAGACAAAGTTTGAGGGTGACACCAAAGTTGGACAAGTAGCAAACACAAGGAAGACAGGATAAGAGTGACCCAAAGAGATTAAAACAATGGCTGCAAAAATGTAGATTTATGACTTATGTGCATAACTGAATGTGATTGGGTGGCAGCCCTCCTGCTCTTCTTACCCAGCTGTCCATACTGAAGGGTCATTTCAGGGATGAAGAGGCATATGTTATGGCTGTGGCAAACCCTGACTCCAGGACAGCCCTTTGAGGGCTTTGATCAGCTTGTATAAAGCACAGTATGGTGTGATCAGTAATATGGCTGTAGTACCCTCCTAAAATGCACTTACACAAAAATGTAAGAAGATGATGCAAGACAGTGCTTTGGTAGCACAGGACAAATTATGTTTGGCTTAGCAAAGTAGAGTTAGTTCTCAAATTGCACAGGAAATAAATCAACACTTTCTAGTCTAGCTTTTCAACCCCCTTAATCAGAATTAATTCTTTTAGCCTCAACATCCCACCAATGTCAGAAAATAGCATTATCTCCATCCTACAGAGAGTAGAAAGTGATGCACTTCTGGATTAAGGGATACATTTACACATCTTATCTCTGGAGACACAAATTGCACTTGTAAAAGGGAAGCTAGGTACTTAAAAATATAGCCTTAACCTATGATGTTATAGGAAGCCTGAAGTAGAATGGACAGTAGTAGCCATACCTCTCGATTCCCAAACCCATGTCAGAGCGATGAGGTCACCCTTCCTTTCATAAAATCAGCAGTAGTGATTTTTATCCAGCCCTGTGCATTGTCCTTCAAGGGCACTGCCTGGTACTCTACTGTGCACTTCTGATCTTGCTCATTTCCCTATAAAACTCAAATAGCTGCTCCAACTTCCAAATGCCCTGTCTCAGAAAAATTACCTGACTGAACTGTTCATCTGATTTTGGTGTTCACATGCTTCTTAATTAGGAAACAAGTGGCAAGCACTATAAGCACCAGCATTGTAAGCCTAATCGCACAACTCTGAATTGCACATGCATTGCGCTCTTCTTTCCAAGAATCGCAAGCAAGCAGTAAGTTCAGGGCAGCATTTGCTACCATCTGTCAAACACTGTCAGACAAGGGAAACACCTCTGTGTAACACTCCTACCTGTTAAATGCGTTCCATGGGTTCTTGTCATTATCAAATTATCAAATTCAGCATCCAAAACACTGCTATCAAGAGTAGCTGCAGCACAGGTTTTCCCACTTTGGAAGTGAACACACCAAAAATTGCTATTCACATATCCAAGTAAATAACCTTCAATAGCCTTTTTTTTTTTTTTTTAAACAACACTAACATTTAGAGTTTCTCAGAAACAATCTGCAACCTGCAGTTCTTGATGGCATAACTGATTTTAATATTCCTATTAAGGAATGTTTAATAAAACAGAAATAATGTAATACTAAACATGAATATTAAACTCGCTTACTGCATGATTCACAACCAATTTGAAAATTCCTATCTGAAGAGTGCTTCTGACCACAAATGACAATTTTCCCTAGGTGGAAATTCAAATGGTAAAAATCACTGTTTTCACATCGGATCTAGTATTACTTAGGGACTGAATCTGTACTAAACTGAAGTTAAAAGAATCACATATTCATCTGAAATACCCCCAGAACAAAACTCTTAATTAAATCTCACTGATATTGCAGAAATATTTTCATGGAACAGCACTGTAATGAACAAACTATAGTATTATTTTCCTCTGTTATCCAGGAAAAGCAAAGTCTGAGAACAGCAGGAAGAAAATAAACTCTCATTCTTCAAAATATTGGAAAACAAAAATAACCATCTCTGACAAAAAAAAAAAAAAAAGGCAGAAAGTCATACTCCTAAGAGTGTTACTCACAGAAATCAAGGAGAAAAACAATTGAATGAGAAGGGTCTAGTCTCCTACCTTTAGGGCAAAATGCTCCACAGCCCATTGTACGGTCGCCAGGCTACCTTCATAGTGTATCTCAGGGGGAACTGTAGTCTTTAAGGTGTTCCAAGCCCCCTGCTCTGCAGGCCCCTTTGCTGCTGCTCTTCTCAGAAGCTGTATTAGCTTTCGAGACTGTTTTCCGACAGAATGGTTCAAGCACATCACAACTCTCAGCTCAGAGCATCGCTTCAGAACAAGTGACTGACTGCCTATATAATTTAATATGATGCCACATGAGACTCATAGACCATCTGCAAAAGAAACTAAATCTGCTTTTTGCTGCTTGGTAAGTTGCATTCTGAAAGCTGGGATACAGTTTTGACTGTGTACTTTTGTTATCTGTCATATAACTGAATGAAAGGCTCAAATGGCATGTATAAAGCACATGTTTTTACCAATCTCCTAGTCCATTTCTGCTGTAGATAACTTGTATTTTTCCCCCTCACAGCTGACAAAGTCACCATTCACCTTAGAGAACAGGGAAGGTCTGGGCACAGACATGACAATATTGGAAATGAACCCTTGAAGCCTGTTGCCAGAATTGAGACGCATGTGTAATGCGATCTGATTCAGGTCCTGATCACTGTACTTCTTTCTCTATAAATACTTCCCCCACTAAAACAATTAGCAAAATTCACATGAAAAAAGGATTAAGCTCTAAAGCAGACAAAAACATATACAAAACTAAGAAGCAGAGGAAAGGACAGACATAAGCCATCAAAAGAGTAATAAACCACTGGTAAGAGATGAACTAGTCTTATGGGCTGTGGGCCCTTCCAGAGAGAGAGAGAGAAATGAAAAGACAGTCTAGAGCAATTACTTACTCAGGATAAAAATCAAATTGCTATGAAGTTTCCTACAAAAAAAACTTTTCAAAAGCAATAAAATGTTTAAGTGTCTGTTTCAACTTGGAGCAGAATGAGGGAAATGACAAATCCCTGGCTCACTCCTAAGTGGAGGAAAATGGTTACCTCTCTTGTTTCCAGTTGAGCTTCGTTTAAAATATCAGTGCCAAAAGGCAAGCACGGAGAACTGAGATGTATTTCTTATTTAGGGTTATTCAGCTGTGCTACATGGCATTCCTCCTCCAGGTTTTGTTTCAGATGTGAACCCTTGCAAAAAAGTCTCTGTGTTTTCATCACTGTTCTGAAATCACATTCTCTGTCAGTTCTGGAGTCTCTGATCACACTGATCTAGAGTTACTGGGTCGCTCTAGAAGCAGTTTTCCCCTGCCAATAGCGTTATGCTACATTGTATTTGCACGCAGTAATGGGCCTCCCCGGTCTGACTCCTAGAGCACCACTGCTTTCTGGCACTGGGAAACTGGAATGTTGAATTGCTGAATAACAGTATTCAATTATAGGACAAAACTGAGCTGGAAGTTCTTTATCAAGCCTACCTTTTCGTAATTTCTGAATAGAATAATAAGTGTCCCAGGTATCTCCAAAGTAGAATTGCCCTAATGAAATAAGTACAGCTAAAAGACTACCAGTTTCCACTTGGGACACTAAGGAGGATGCTGAAGATGTTTATATCTGTCCTATGAAAATTCACAATCTGAAGACACAGCAACCTGCATCATCTACTAAATCTACTATATAAGTGATTCCTTTCATATCAGTTTTTCACATGCACAAAACCAGCTATTCTCCAAAAATAGTGAATTAAAGTTGTCTTTTTTTATAATGATTTTTCATACCTACAGTAGTGCCTAAACGACAACGTCCATGTAAACTGTTTACACCCCGTGTGAACTGGGTGTAGTTATAGTACAGTAAGAAAGTTTTAAGTTAGCTAAAGCACAGCTGCTTTCTCGAAGGGCATAACACAGTAAGAAGTTGACAGTACGCAGTCTGAAGAGCATAGTCTGGGGACGGGAACATCGAGCAGAAGAATTTCTAAACATACTCTGTGCAATCCATTTCCATTTCTCACAAGCATAAATTCAAGTGGGACTTTATTTCCAATTCCTGTAATCTAACAACAACAACTACAAAATTGTCATTGAAAAAGCCCAAGTGCCTCCCCCTTTCCTCAGCAGAAATCACTGCAGGGAAAAACGGCATATTGGTAAGATGCTTCGGGCCTAGCATTTCCCAGACTGTTCCTAAAGGTTCCAACCCCGCAGTTTTCAGCTTTGTAAAAACACAAGTATAGCCAGGGAGGAGTGAAGTCTTTTTCAAGTGGTTTTGGCCATCAATACAGGAAACAATTCAAAGGCAACATGACACTGATAGCTTAATTTGTGAAAATGGATAAATACCATATCTGCCACATAGCACGTTAACCCATGTAACAAATAAATAAATAAATAGCACTGCAATGCTTGGTTAAAAGGTTTTGGTTCACAGAGGAGGAAATTTAATTAAAGCATGTAATGTCAATTACTGTCATTTGTAATTGTATTTTGCCTCCTTAGAAATAATACAGATGCAGGTTTCTAAAGTTACCTGCATGCTTGATGCAAATGGGATAAAATTATCTAGGTTCTGAGAAAATCCAGATAGTAGTAGGAAAAAAAAATGCATTTTTACCTAACCTCATTCATGGATCTTCTTCAAAGTGTCGATTACATGAGGACTGACATGGTTCCAATTTAAACATACAAGCCAACAATCCAGATCTAGAACAAGACTTTCATTTTGAAAAAATTGTGTTAAGTCATCAGAAAGGGAGCAACAGCCTAACTCTCAGCTACTGTAAAAACGGGCACAGTCTTATTGAAGTCAACAGAGAAGCACTGATTGATAACAGAAGAGAATTTGGGTTACTGTTTATACTGATTGATTTTAACAGGAAAATTACAGGGTCACGTCCTTAATACTTCTGCCTCCTTCACTCTGCTCTGTGCAAAATGGACAGAGACCTATGAGCTATGCAGAAGACAAATACCTTACCACCACATTAGCAAACACTGCCAAATCTCTTCTCACTCCTTTTCCTCCTCCGCCACACACAATGCACTGCTGTATCAGCATCCACTTCCATTTCTATACATACTGCTTTTCAGTGGGTAAAGCTCAGTGCTGCACAGAAGAATCCTACCCATATCATATCCTATTGGAAGTCTGGAAACAGCACCAGAAAAGATGCATGAAACATACTGTCAGCGAAACAAAAGTCAGATTTATCTCTACCCTGCAAACTGTCCTCTGAGCAACCACTATTAGCAGAAGAAAATCTGCTGGAAAGACCTCCAAGCCATTTTCCTTCAAGTACCACCACTTCTAAATATGGCAACCATGCCGCCTTTGAAAATCATACTTTCCTCAACAGTGTAACATTACAGTGAAATGGTGATTAGAATCATAGCAAAGAGCTAACAAAAGAGAGAGGAAATCAATCACATGCTTTCTTATTTCGCTAAGTGATACACAAAAATTGTGTCTATCAGGTTCCCCCAGGCAATTTAACAAGTATGCAGAACATAAAATGATGCAAATTCATTACAAAAAGTCTAAATCTAATCTACCTGAATTTAAAATGCCAGGAATTATGTAAATGGAAGATGAGAAGACAGAACTCACGTTATACATAAGCAGAAGAGTCATCCAAACTGGATGTCTCATAAAAGGCTAGGTTACCATGAAAATACAGGTCAGATCTCTGGCAGTGCCAAATTCCATCACCATAGAATTGCAGTAAGGGAAAAGGTGTCTTCAAACTATCTTCCTGCCTTCCCCTATCCTCATAAGGTTGACAGAAGTCTGACATCTTTCTGAAAAAGTGGTTTCAGGGGTCTGAGTGACACTATTTGTTCACTGAAGGACTCAGAGGTTCATTACACCTTCTGAAGTTCACCTCTTCAACTCTTTGAAAAGTTCTCTGCTTTTCACAGTCCACCTACATGAGAACACATATCATATTCCACTTTTTGCATCCTAGGTCAAGATTTCACCATGCTGAGGAAATCCTCCGCTGTTTCAACAGATCTGGTTTAAAGCCCCTCTACATCATTTTCACAACCAGCACAAAGACCTAAGAAATAGCCAGGAAGTTGCCTTAGAACAAACAATGCACTGGCTATTGACAGGTTCACTTCAATATTTAAATGTGAAGACTTAATTGTGACTTTCAAAAGCACCTCCTATTGGCTAAATGTGGCTTTCCTGGAAATCATTTTAAAAAAAAGATTTTAATCCTTATGCTTACACCAAGGCTTATGTAAACTTAGCCCGCTGACTCCCTGCCCCCCACAACACTTATCAGGAATCTTAACGGGGGCTAACCACCAGAAGTGAACTCCAAAACACTCCAAAACAGACTGTGTAATGCAAAGGGAGGGGGCAAATATCAGGGTTATATTTTCAGATATGCAGATTATCAAATTGTGTCCCTCCCAAAAGGCATAGGGGAATGTTGGCAAATGTCATTCAAAAGGGGCAATTCCAGCTCGACCTAAGTGGCAATCGCAAAAAATTACTGTTGGCAAAAATAAAATACAATTGACATGACACAGTTCACCTATATTATCGCTGACAAATTGCTCAAAATATGCTGACAAGATCCCTGAAGCTTACATCTCCCCCAGGATGTTGTTGTTATTTGTAGTGCGCCTTGCAAGTCCAGGTGTTATTAGATATAGGCAAGCCCCTAACTTTTTTACTAAACATACAGGAGAAAGAGTATAACATTATGGCTGTAAATATATACGCTTATTGATGCCTTACATCATAAACAAAACTTTAATGCAAACATATGCACACAAAAATTAGATTACTTGGAATGCTCAATAATACCACCTCTCTCTCCTAATGAGTAACTTCCATTCCCTGTTATTAAATCAGGCCAGTTTTTAACTCAGGTCTAAAACTTTCACCCAGAGCCATACTTGTTAAATGCTGACTTGAGACATATTTAACTGAATGCTGCAATTATTCTCCTTCTCATTTTCTGAGTAAGTTACAGTGGTTCTGAATCTAAACTACTGAAAATAGAGAAATGAAATTAAAGTCACCAGAGTTACAGTATGCAGATCAGATCTAAATCCTAACTCTCTTGTGG